TTTGTGCATCATCAGGATTCAATGAAAGTCAAGTATCAGGGAAGTGCTAGAGTGAAGCGGGCTCAGCTGCAACGACTTCGCAGAACATTTGAAACTCTAGAAATGAAGTCAGGAGAAGGTGTGTCTGAGTATTTTGCAAGAGTTATGTCTACTGCTAATGACATGAGGAATTGCGGAGAAGATATGCCCAATGTCAAAATCGTTGAGAAAATACTTCGGCGTCTCACAGAAAAATTCAATTTCTCAGTATGCTCAATTGAGGAATCCAAAGACATTGACAAACTCACAGTAGATGAATTACAAGCATCTTTGCTTGTACATGAACAAAAGGTGATTGAGAAGAGGAGTGAAGAGCAAGTTCTACATGTGGAGAATGAGCCAAGGAATGCACAAGGAAGAGGCAGAGGGACATTTCAGAGAGGAAGAAGTCACCTTAGAGGACGGGGAAGAGCTAGGCCTTTTGTCAACAGGTCAGCCATTAATTGTTTTCGATGTGGAAAGCAAGGACATTATCAATTTGAATGCTCAAGCTCAGAAAAGGGACTCGTCAACTATGCTGAATTTGACGAGGAGGAAGAACTACTCTTGATGGCGCACACAAAAGTCAGTAAAGCTGAAGGAAAGGGCTTTTGGTTTCTCGATTCCGGGTGCTCAAATCATATGACAGGAGACAAAACCTGGTTTATTGAGCTCGATGAAAATTTCAAACACTCTGTCAGATTGGGAAATAGTTCGAAAATGGCAGTTGAAGGAAAAGACAGCGTCAGATTTGAAGTAGAAGGTATCACACAAATCGTGTCAAATGTGTACTATGTTCCCAATCTCACCAACAATTTGCTAAGCATAGGCCAGTTACAGGAGAAGCGCTTGGTGATCTTAATTAAAGAAGGAACCTGCAGAATCTATCATCAACAAAAGGGCCTGATAATAAACACACAAATGACTGCAAATCGCATGTTCCTGGTTTTTGCGAAGATGAAGCCGTTGCCTGGTAACTGCTTGAAGATGGAAGAAGAAGACTTGGAGATTCTCTGGCATAGGAGATATGGGCACTTAAACAACAAGTCTATTCAAGTTATGCATCAGAAACAAATGGTGAAAGGACTGCCAAAATTAAAAGAAGCAGACAAAGTTTGCAAAATATGCAATGTGGGAAAGCAGCAACGACAAAAATTTCCAAAGAAAAGCAAGTGGAGAACATCAAATAAATTGGAATTAATTCATGGAGATCTTTGTGGACCAATCACTCCAATCTCTCACAATGGTAAGAGGTATTTGTTGGTGCTTGTAGATGATTTCTCTCGGAAAACATGGATTTATTTTCTTGCAGATAAATCAGAAGTTTTTGAAACATTCAAAAACTTCAAAAACCTTGCTGAAAAAGAAGCAAAAACAGCCATATGTGGATTCAGAACTGACAGGGGAGGAGAATTCACATCAAATGAATTCAACAAATTCTGCAAAGATAATGGCATAAGACGACAACTAACAACAACTTACACTCCACAACAAAATGGAGTCGCAGAAAGAAGGAATCGGACCATCATGAACATGATACGATGTCTGTTGTCTGAGAAGGAGATGTTGAAATTGTTGTGGCCAGAAGCAGCTAGATGGACAGCTCATGTTTTGAATCGCAGTTACACAAAGGCAGTCAAGGACATGGTACTTGAGGAGAGGTGGATAGGAGTAAAACCAAATGTAGAATACTTCAGAGTATTCGGTTCGATTGCACATGTGCACGTCCCTGAACAAAAGAGAATTAAGCTTGATGATCGAAGTCACAAATGCATCTTGCTTGGAGTTAGTGACGAATCTAAGGCCTATCGTTTGTATGATCCAGTGACGAAGAAAATAATCATAAGCAGAGATGTCATATTCGAAGAAGGTGGAAAATGGGATTGGAACCTGAGTACAACAGAGGCAGAGCAGAATGTGTTGGCTTGGGGAGACGATGATGATATTGCCACAGAAGAGTCTGAAGGAGAAGAGACTGATGGAGAACCTAATGAAGTAGAAAACGACAGTTTAGAAGCCATTCCAGAAACTGAGGAATCTTCACCAGAATTTCCACAACAGACAAGAAGAAGGAGAGAGCCCGTTTGGATGCGCGACTACGAAACTGGTGAACGCTTGTCTGAAGAAGAAGAATCAGATGAAAGCTTAGCTTTTCACATCTCCAACGATGATCCAATAAACTTTGACGAAGCGGTGAAAGAAAAAAAGGTGGCAGGAGGCCATGAAGCTTGAAATTCAAGCTATTGAGAGAAATCAGACCTGGGAGCTTGTGACATTGCCACATCAAGCAAAGAAAATTGGTGTCAAATGGGTTTTTAAAACGAAATTAAATGAAGAAGGCAAAGTAGACAAATGTAAAGCTAGACTCGTCGCCAAGGGATATTCACAAAAAGCATGAGTAGACTACAATGAAGTGTATGCGCCAGTAACACGATGGGATACAATCAGAATTATGTTGGCACTGGCAGCTCAACGTGGATGGTGCATCTATCAACTTGACGTTAAGAGTGCTTTCTTGTACGGTGAATTGAATGAGGAGGTTTACGTTGACCAGTCGGAAGGGTTTGTCAAAAGGGGAGAAGAAAACAAGGTGTATCGGCTGAAGAAGGCTCTCTACGGTTTAAAGCAAGCTCCAAGGGTCTGGTTTAGCAGAATCGAGAGTTATTTCAAGAAGGAAGGATTTGAGAAAAGCAATTACAATCACACCTTGTTCTTGAAGAAAAATGGAGATAAACTGTTGCTGGTAAGTCTTTATGTTGATGATTTGATTTACACCGGAGATGATGAGCATATGTGCACAAATTTTAAGTCGTCAATGCAGAGGGAGTTTGAGATGACAGACTTGGGAAAAATGAAGTTCTTCCTTGGAGTTGAAGTCTATCAAAACAAAGGAGGAATTCATCTGTGCCAAAAGAAGTATGCTAAGGAAGTCTTGGACAGGTTTAATATGTGGAATTGCAATGCTGTAAAGAATCCAATAGTTCCTGGCACTGTCTTGTCAAAGTTAGGCAGCAAAAATGCTAATGCAACACTGTACAAACAGCTGGTAGGATGCTTAATGGACCTAACGGTAACTCTTCCTGATTTAATGTTTGTGGTATGTTTGATTTCTCATTATATGGCTGATCCTAAAGAAGAACATATGATGATTGCTAAGAGGGTACTAAGATATTTAAAAGGAACATTGGATTTTGGAGTCTATTACAAAAGGAGCACAAATGTAAATCTGCTGGGATACACAGACAGCCACTATACAGGAGATGAGAATGACAGAAATCTGCTAGGATACACAGACAGTGACTATGCGCGAGATATAGACGATAGGAAAAGCACTTCAGGCTATGTTTTTCTTCTAAGTGGAGCAGCAATATGTTGGAGTTCAAGGAAGCAAGGAATTGTCACTCTATCATCCACAGAAGTTGAATATGTGCCTGCCACTGCATGTGCATGTCATGGAATTTGGCTTAAAGGAATTCTGAAGGAGTTGGGCGTCAAAAACTGTGAGTGCATCAATATTATGTGTGATAATAGTTCAGTAATTAAGTTGTCAAAGAACCCAGTTATGCATCGAAGGACAAAACATATTGATGTTAGATAGCATTACTTGCGCAATCTGTCAATTGATAGAGCTGTGAGGTTAGTTTTTTGTGGAACTAAAGATCATGTGGCAGACATAATGACTAAACCAATTAAGTTGGACCAATTTGTGAAACTCAGAAGCTTGCTTAGTGTTCGACGACTTGAGGAGTAAACTGATGTTGATTCAGCATATTTCAGTTTACGGGGAGGAATTTGTTGGAGCTATTGACTTGGTTTGCAATGTGATAGCTAAATAATAGGTAGGAGTTGTTATTTAAACTGTTAAGTAAGCTAGTTTGTAGGAGTTGATTTGTTCAATTTTGTTTAGATATGTTTTCCTTGTGTTTCGATTTTTCTGTTTGTAAGGCTTTATAAAAGCCTCGGTTAATTTTCTACTTAAAAGAATATGGATTATCAGTTTCCTTTAAAAAATAGGTGTTGCCCAGAGTTTAGACGAACATAAGAAATTGAAATCAGAGTTTTTTATGACTTGTTATTTATTTTCTAGTTCTTTTTTAGAATGACAAAAACACTAATTTAGAAGTCTAAACCATGGAATTTAGCAAAAAAAAATGAAGGAACTAATGAAATAATGATGAGTTTCAATCATAGGTCTAATACAAATTAAACAATAATGGTCGAGTCCAACTCATTTTACCTCTATTATTACTTTACAACAGATTTACTAGGATGAAAAGACCATCAGAGTACATTATTTTGTTTAATTTTGACCAATTATAAATAATAAGTAATTTCACAATGGAAAAATCTTCGATTAAGACAGCATGTTCAAATTTTCTCCAACCATTTTTCTTTTGCATGAAAATTTAACTCAAATGAAAATGTCAATACACTTTCGTCACTCTTCTAGAATGTTTCTTCCTGGTCTTACCTAGTAATCTTATTGGGTACACTAAAAATCAAAAGACCAGAAATGCATTTTAATGTCCTAGGCTATCTAACGTTTGATTTTGTCTTTCTATGGTAACGTGGAATATATACTTTTCCCCTTCTTCTGGTGAGAGACTTGAGGGTTGCTGAAAAATTAAACTTTGACCCATCATTCATCTCCCAATATTTTTTCTGCAGCATTGTGCAATGAAAACTATCAATCCTTTAGAGGCAGAAAAAATTCAGTATATTGCAACTTACGAATCAGGGCTTTTGCAAATGCTCTGGCTTATAACGGGATCTAAAAGAGATAAGCCTATTGCATGCTGAAAAACTAGGTTAATTCTCACACTCGAACAAATGATGTATCACTTGGACGATGAAGCAATTGACATCAGTTTTAAGAATGCAAAATAAAAATGGAAAATGAGGTAAATAGACAGGCGTTGTAAAGAAAACTGCTCCAAAAATATGAATATTGGAAAAAAAAAAAAGTCCTGCTTCGGTGTTGAGAATTTCCTAAACGAAATGTGCTAACCCTCAGTCTACTTGTCCTAGAGATGCAATGGCTTCTGTTTAAATGAATTGCAGAAACTTTTTGATAGAAAACTATTTGGAAGCCAATCTTCTACATCACAGTATAGCTATATTCACATGAAAGTTACTCTAACGAAAGGAAAATAATAGTCGTATCGAGGGTTAAAATAACCAAAAGTTCTTGATCATTGGCTTCCAAAGAGAAGGGATTCTGTAACAGATGGTGAATGTGGACATGCAAACTCCATAGAAGACGGATACGACATGGCAAAATCATCAAAGCTCTGAAGATTTGCAAACGTTAGGCCAGTAGCCGAAATACCAAGTGATGATAAGTCAGGCAGAAGAACGGAGCCCTCAAAATACTGTAGAACTTGACTCACAGTCGGCCTAGCTACAGGCTCTGATTGAGAGCACAACAAGCCAAGCTTCAACACCATCTTCACTTCATCTGCAATGTAATCAGTACCCAAATTTGGATCAATTACTTGAAGAATCTCACCTCTGCTCCAGCACGAAAACACCCAATCGACTAAAACTAGATTCTGATCATCTGATTCTCGTTGTGGCTCTATTGGTCTCCTTCCACAAACAACCTCTAGCATAAAAGCCCCAAAACCATATACATCAGTGCTTATTGTGGCCTTGCCAGTTATGGCATGTTCAGGGGCTAGATACCCAAAAGTTCCGGCCACAATGTTTGTTTGAGGGTCAGTCCCATGATCAAACAATCTCGCGAGACCAAAATCGCCTAATCTTGCATTTAATTCACCATCTAATAAGACATTACTGGCCTTGACATCTCTGTGAACCACCACTTGTTCCCACCCTTCATGTGGATAGAATAGTCCTGATGCTACACCTTTGATGACTGCAAATCTTTGGCTCCAATCCAAGGTGAATTGTGGTTGGTCGTAGAGGAACTTATCTAGACTTCCATTGGGCATATACTCATAAACCAAAAGGAGCTCTCCTTTACGACGACAATAACCCAAGAGAGATACTAAATTCCGATGGCATAATCGACCAATACTGACTACTTCAGCAACAAATTCCCTAATCCCTTGTCTTGAATCATGAGACACCCTCTTCACTGCAATTTCAATTTTAGAGGTGGGTAAGATCCCTTTGTATACCCTACCAAAAACCCCCAATCCCCAATATATCTGTCTCTATACCCTTTGGTGGCAATATACAAATCTTTGTACTTGAATCTATGTGGTCCATAGTCAACTTCCCAATCTTCAAGCACTTCTGCAAACTTTCTCTTCCTTCTTATATGAAAAATTAGGCCTGAAATCACTAATAACATAGACACAATGGAAATCACAGGTAACCCAATCTCGAACATTTTCGATTTCTCTTTAGGTCCAAGTCGAGGAAGTCGAGAGAGATCAAGCCCTTGAGCCATACCATTCATCTTAAAGCTCCACCCCAATATATAATGGGTAGTGGGGATTGAACCAGTAGATGATGAAAAGCCTGCATACATGGTCTGATTCATAACCGATGAAAGATCCCGGGACAAAGATAAAAGTGGAGTATTTGGCTTACCCACGTTTATTGGAGCTAAAGTGACTTGAATTTGCTTAGCATCACCATCATAATCCACCCAAACTTGAATTGGGTCTCGACTAACGAACTTCAAGTCCTGAAACTCACCATTACTACTAGCATAATATCCTGCTGGCTCTGATACTATGGATTGTAATCCATTAATATCAATTCCAACATGGTTGTTATTGATGTCTTTAAGATCGGGATTTTCAATTGTATCGAGTTCAACTGCAAAGATATGGTTGTTGTCATTGCCATTGTTGGTGTTATCAAAGAGACCAAGATACTCGCTTGGAAAAGATCGTGGAAGGCCTCTAGTGGGTGCAATCACAAAAGCCATTCCATTGCCACCCCGAGTCAGAGAATCCGAGACAATACTGAAAACAAAAGAGGTGGAGAAGGAGAAAACTGAACCAGTTGATGAGTTCTTGAAGTTGATGGGATTGGGATAGAAGGCATGACCCTGTTGTAGGTCGGTGGTTGGTGAGCCTCAAGAGGCCATTGGGTGTGAACTCAGCTGCGCCGTCTGAGACTCAGGTTGGCTGCTGATCGAAATTCATTGTAGATGAAGCCAAGATCTTCTTCTTGAGAGGCTGCTAAGCTAATAACATAGACAGACACCACCACCACCATTTTTACAAGTTTACAAAACATGGCTAAGTTTCAGCAGGCTTTAAGTTTCGGCAGACTGTGTTCACAATTCTCTGTTTAAGTCTGTTAATGTGGACATTGGTTTTCATTTTTTTTGTGATAGGGAGCAGTGTAACAATCATGCAGGTTCACCCATCTTGCCGTTCAAGTCAGTCACGTTCAAAGATCCTTGGCGTTCAGTGGGTTTGTTCAAACTTCTTAATAGAAATGTCCACATATGGTCACAGTCTTGATCACGAATTTGTTTGAAACAATGGTGTCAAACCACGTTAGTACGAGGAACAATGTTTTTAGTCCGAACGAAAGGAAAAAGTCAATTTGCTCTATTGTTGATTTAACGTAGATAATTAATTAAATATAATTGCAGTTGTTTGTTTCTCTGTATTTATTGAAAATGGGGTATGAGTTTATCTTAAAGAACTTATAATGCGTTTAGTCCGTCAAGAAAACTTCTTTGAGAATAAATCTCTTTTTAATATTACTAACAAGTTGTTAAATCTACAATTTTTTTTGAAACTCTAAAATACCATTCCTTGAAAGTAACCTTAATTAATTTCTTATCTTGAAAATTATTATCACTTAATTCAATACAGATATACCAATAAAATTTCTATCATAAATTTGAAATTCAAATTCAAAGATCTCCAATGGTCTATTTGTTTAGCAAGATAATGTTAAAAAATGCAAGAAATATAAAATTTTAAAATTTTACATGTTTGTTTAACATAAAATAAAAAATGATAGAAAAAATAATTTTTTTTTTGTTTAGATTTTCTCATATGTAACTAAATTTTTTTTATTATAAAAAACATAAAAAAAAGAAGGAAAGTTGTGTTCAATAACCTAATCATATAATTTAGTTTAGAGATCGGGGTTCAAGTCGGTCATTGTCATTGAAATAGGTTAAGAACCATTTTTTAAAAATTTGAATAGTAAAAAATATTTTTTTTCTTCTTTCAATCGAGTTAAAATAATTAAGAATAATTTAGAAAATTAGAAAAAAATTATTGTAACTTTTCTTTCTTTCAAACAATAAAATGAAATTGTTTTAAAAAAATTTTAGAAATTTTTTATGCTAACCAAATGGATGCATGAAAATATATTTTCTTTTATTTTCATTTATTTCACTTCATTTTTTACCTTTTTCACTTTCTACCATCTTTTTCTTATTAACCAAACGGACCTAATCTAATTCTTTTCTCTAATTTCTCGAATAGCTTGAAAAGTTTTGTTATTGTACTTGATGTCGGCCAAATAACCTTGTTGTTTTTCAAATACATTTTATGTCACTTCCAATTATTCAAAATTTCAGTTTTTCAGGCACTTTTTCTTTGTTGATATTCTCTTTGTATGTGGACGCATTTTTACTCAACGGCTCATGATTACTGTTACTTTGGACAAATTTCTCTATCATTTTGAATGTTTTCGTTCTGCCTTTCGCATCAAAATTAGAAAATCCTCTTTCATCTCGAATTCTCAAGTGTCCAGTTAAAATGAGTGTGTGTGTGGAAGCAATGCAACCATACCACATTGCAACTGCTTCGGCGTTGATGGCTTCCATGCACACCATCTCTTGCCGTTGTTACGGTAACCTTTCCGAAGGCCTTGCCAAGACTTGACGAAGATGAAGAAGCAAAGATGGAATTTTTGTCCCATCCCAGTCACAAACCATCGGGCCCGCCGTCTCGTGGCCTTAAATCCTCCACCTCATGATAATTGGATGAGTTGTTGGGCTTTCGGGCCGCTCATGGACTAAATACAAGAGAAATTTGGGGATAAGTCCCTATATAGAGACTTATTTGGTGAGAAGTCTATCAAGGAAATTTGTTTGAGAATAAGTTTATTTTAATTTCTATTATCTAAAATACTCTCAGTAACTATATTTAATTAAAATAAAATTAAAAACTAACAACTTCTAAATTTTAAGAGTTTGACTAACTTTAAAAATTTTTTTTTCTCTCTCATATCTATCTATATCCATATATAAATTAGGACTATTTCTATTTATATATAACATTAAAAATAAAAATAGTAACATTTAAAAACAAAAAATAATAACATTCAAAAAAAAATATATAGTAACATTGAATATTAATATTTAAAAAAATAACAGTACTAACATGTTCAATAAAAATAGTAGTGACATGCTTAACAAAATAGTAACATGGAACATTCAAACTCAAAAATAGTAATATTTAAAAAAAAATACTAACATATAATTAGTAACAATAATTTAATTATGATTAACTACCAAATTAATTACCTTTCAAGTATTGCTAGTAGGGGTGTTCACCGTACCTTAGGGGTATGAAATATGGTCTTCCATCATCCTACCCGATATTTTGCTGGAGAAAGTTTTCTTGGTCTATCCTATCCAATCAAGTATAGTATTCATACTCGAATTCCGTCCAAATTAATCAGGTAGAAGTTGGGTAAAAAATTAGGTGAACATGTTTTGTAGTTATTAATTTTTGAATTATTTTAATAATTTAAATAACTTGAACTAATTTAACAATACAATAAATCAATAATATTAAAATCTAAAATAATTACAATAATAATTTAGAAATCATATTCTAAATAAATATACAAAAGAGGTGAGATGAAGAGACAAAAGAGGTGAGATAAAGAGGTGACAAGGCGTTATAAACTTATTTTCTACAATAACTAAAAACCCTAAGTTTATAACGTCTTGTCACCTCTTTATCTCACCTCTCTTGTCTCTTCATCTCACCTCTCTAATGTTAATATTCAATGTTACAATTTTTTTTTTTTTGAATGTTATTATTTTTTGTTTTTAAATGTTACTATTTTTTTTTTTTTTTGTGTTTGAATGTTATTATTTTTTTTATTTTTAATGTTATATATAAATAGAAATAGTCCTAATTTATATATGGATATAGATAGATATAAGAGAGAAAAAAAAAATTTAATGCTAGTCAAACTCTTAAAATTTAGAAGTTATTAGTTTTTTATTTTGTTTTAATTAAATATAGTTACTGAGGGTATTTTAGACAATAAAAATTAAAATAGACTTATTCTCAAATAAATTTCCTTGATAGGCTTCTCACCAAATAAGTCTCCATATAGGGACTTATCCCCAAATTTCTCTTGTATTTATTCCATGAGCTGGCCCGAAAAGCCCAACAACCCATCAAATTATCATGAGGTTGGGGATTTGAGGCCACGAGATGGCGGGCCCTGATGGTTTGTGACAGGGATGGGACCAAAATTTCATTATTGGTGTGGGTTGAGGTGGGTTGTGGAGGGGAGAATCTTTGTAAAAAAATCATACCAATTACGTGAACTAAATTATACTTGTTAAATTCTAATTTATACTGATGATGCACAAAATTGATTTGTAAATCATTTGTCAATTAAGTAATATAAAATGCAGTAAAGTAGAGGGAAAAAGAAGACAAGGTTTATAGTGGTTCGGTCAATATGACCTACGTCTACTTTGAATGGCAAGGGTCATCGAAATTTTATTATCTTTGGTGTGGAGGGAGAGTACAAGATTACAAGCTTTGAGAGGGGAGGAGAGAATTATGCTCAAAATGAATCTGATACCTCTCAAGTGTTGGTAGAAACATACAATTTATAGTGGTTTAGTGTAGTAATTGTATAGCTAGTTGGATGGTCATAATAGGGTTGGGGCCGTTTAATAGTCATAATGGGTTGGTGTGATTTTAATAGTGATTAAATAGCTTGGTAACCTTTGTTCTCCTCAACGGCAATGAAGTTTAT